TAGATCTAGAATCTAGACAATAAATTTGCAAAAAAAATTCTTTCTGACAGTAATTTTCTGTCTAAGATCACATGTCAATATACTTGATCAACGCGCAGATTCTTCCAGCCGCGGCAACAATCCGAAGATAGACAGACGGAATGAGGGAATGATAGAAAGGAGGAAAGTGGCACAAAAAGTTTGCCAGATTTTGATCAATCTGCAGGTGAAAAATGTACTGCCGACAAGCCTGCAATGAATGCATGGGGCAGAGTAGAATAATGGCCAATTGCCAGGAAATGCGCAATCTGGCAGGTTTCTATAGCATAAACTATTGCCGAGAGAATTACCGTAAATATCCGTAACTTATACACAAGACATACGAAGGCGAGTACAGATCTTTTGCTACGGAATTTCGGTAGTCCTACGCTGTCGCAGATTTTTACGGAGGGAGTTGATGATGATGGAGGAACAAGTACGGTTTCCGTAAAAATATGGAAGAGTGGAAGCACTGCTAAAAAGAAATTCAACAGTAGATCTACACTCTAGATCTAGAAAATTTAGGCCTAAAGAAAGTCTTTAAACTGAATTCAGAATGGGTAATAGATCTAGAGATGAGGAAATTATGGAAAAGCTAAAAAGGAATTTAAAATATATTATTGGGACGGGGACCAAAGTGTTCACACCATTCCAGCATTACTTACATTTTTATAACGTGGGTGGGTTTTTTTTCACAAGCCGTTAAACGTAGAAGACGCATCTTTCTGATTGGCTGCTAATTTTAGTAATGTGATGTTATCACTTCCTGAGATACCCACAGACTCCGTGGAGGTACCACATGGAATGACATGTTTTCAGAAACATTTCGGAGTACTTTTCGGATTTCCTAGACCTAGATCTTGGACATGATGGAAGATCACTCAGATCTAGATCTAGATTGTTGATGCTCAGAACAGTAAGATTAAGAACGCTGATGCTTGAAATTGACACACGGTAAACGCAAAGACAATACAAAAATTGCCGTAAAGACGCTGGAGGATTAGATCTATAGATCTATCC